TGCCAACGCTTGCCGCTGCTGGTGGATAAGAGCTTTTTTGTTTGAGGTGGCGTTGACTCTCTCGACGTGCGGTCAATACATAAGTGGGGTTTTCCATTAAACCGGAAATGAAAAACAAAGACCACAACACCCGTATAATCGGTCGCGACATTTGAAAAATCAAACGTTCGTCCATAGTAACAGGCTATGAACTGGCAAAACGGGTAGACAGTCCTAAGGCCTTAACTCAAGTGGCAAAGGAAACCCTCCGCACGCACGCACCCAAGTGCAAACTCACTTATACAGGTTAGGCCACCAGTATTTAGAGCTTGCTGAGTCAAATGCTTCTCTACTCGAGATAGCCATCCAAACGGTTATCTTGTACATCGAACATTATTCTGCTTTTAGGATTGTTCCGACAGTAAATAGTACATGTTCACTGTCATGTGGGTCAGTGCCGTAATACAGCAAGCTTTTGGATGAGGGGTTAGCCGGACAAGACGTACACAAATGCTTCAAATAACTATAAGTCACCGTTTTCTAGTTTTTAAGGATTTCACCTGGTGCATCTGACCCGTACGCTGTATAATCCGGTCCATCAACATGTACGACGTCACCATTATAAAGTTTAATCGCGGCGACGCGAAAGCGCAAATTGCGCCGCATCAAGCCGACCCGACTCATACCTTACCTTGAAATAAAGTCGGCCGGAAGGGTGATCATCTTGCTATCAAGCGCAACGAGCATGAGTGTATGCATCGCGAACGTCCCGCAACAGAGCAGGTGTACACCGAACTTAATAGAAAAACGTTTATTGAAGTTCAGCAGCTTTCTCAGCGCGAAATCTCCACACAGCCGCTGAGCTTTGTTACCTACTACGATGTTCAGCGTTTTAATCTGATCGTTCGACAGTTGATTGATCCATTGCGCAAAATCCACGTGGACAGGGTCTACTAAATACTTTTTTGGCAGCGTCAAGCTCTTTAGCGAAAGCTATAAGTTCAGTCTTTGAAATAGATTACGCGTTCATGCCAATTGACATCAACTTGGAGGAATACTATGTCTATGGCAAGAGCTGAACTATCATAGATGACAGAAAATGGCCGATCCACATTGTCCTGAGCCACAATCTGGGCACACGACGTTTACATAGATAGCTTTATAGATCGCCTCATCCGTCGCTTCCTAGCACCATTTGACATCGTTATTATGGTGAGGAATTGTGTCGTGTCAGTTTAACATGCGTTTTATATGTGCAAGTTGTTGGAGTTTCTTTTGGAAGGAGGCACTGGTCCCAAAGGAGTCAGTGGCTTGGTCAATCTTTGATGGTCTTGAAATTTGTCCGCCTGCCGTATATCCCGAAATAACACGAAATTCTGTTGGGATCAAATACACACTGGTCGTTTTCACAAACAGCTTGTATAGTTGCATACATTTAAGCGCTGCAAATTCCTGATGCGGTTGTCTACATCTAGTTCTTTGTGCTCTGCACGACTATGATCATATATATAGCCGTAACAGGCTAGGCATCGGCATGATGTGATCTAAACAGCTGTGTCATTCCATAACTCGAGTGGACCTCGCTGGTACGTTAGAAATTCAAAACGGCATAGCCAGCATTATCAAAGGCATCCCGCTCAAAGTACTCAATGCAGTAAGATGAACCTTTGACTTCGTAGAGAATTAATAACAATACTCAACTAGACCACAAATACTGAAAAGGCGCAATCGACGATGCTGCTCTGCAGCACATTCCTTATATAGATTGTAGTTTATAGTGGCTGCATCGAGCTTCATAAAAGAATGCACAGTCTGCCACTTGCCGTTAGTCTTACTGTCATAATGATTTGTCACCGAGTGGAGCTTGCTCTCATCAAACGCTTGTCTGCTTTGCACGGATGACAACATCTATGATGTAATGGGTTAAGGTCATTGACATAACACGCAAACTGGTTTCAGATCCAAATTATTTTATGTCACACCCCTCGAATTAAAGGCGACATGGCGATGGGTTTCTTATTGCCATGTCGTGGTATGTCTTCAGCAAAGGATTGAAGAAGTTTCGGGGATTCTTCCCACTCAGAAATCTGCGAGTGTTCCCAAAGTTGGACTTATTTATCCATGTACGAGCGATGAGCTTTTCCTCCTGTACCAGCCGTACCATGATGATGACATCACTGTCGTGTATTATTTGCGAGCATTTCAAATAATCTTTTTTCAAGCTCAATGAGAGACTCCAAAAAAGTGAAGAACACTTGCAAAATCAAAAACTACCGAGGCCACTCCGTATCACGAGTGGACGGTCTTATTCGGCAGAGAAATTTTTTGGACTTTACTGCAACGAATGGTGGGAGCATACACAGTGAGCATACGCAACAGAATTGTTACAACGCAAAAGGAATTATCCATCCCAATAATCTGAACTCGGGGCTCAGAGTCACCCGTCTTTTCCAGCTCATGCGTGTAGGAGGCCCCAACTCACAGCTATTACTCAATTTTCCACCAGAGATACACTCTGGGAACGCGGCATACCGTCGCTAATTCGTATCACTAGGAATAAACCCCGAGGACCGCGATAAATAATCACTTATTTCTATCTTAAATGCCTTCCGAGTACTGCTCAAGGCATTGATCAACATCATTGTTTGTCCACTCGGACATTCTTATGCCTTGTATCAAAGCTATTGTAGTCTCACGCCGGCATAAACCATTTCGGCTTTCTAGCAGAGGTGGGTATATAACTGCTTAAGCTAATCGTGGGGCTTGTGCTGCGCTTTGTGGGTCCTTTGAGCGGCTTACCGTACCGGAGCGAGTTTTATCGCTTAGATTTATCAACCTGTGGAAAACTGAGGCCATACATGCAGCGGGGCTGCCGTCTTTAGGTTACCGACCTTTCGTTTTAAACAAGAACCAAGTACTAGTGCAGCGGATCGCAATCCGCTGCCTCTAAAAGTACATAAAAGCCTTACCAACACTTCTGTTCAAAATCGAAACTGATGTTTATTTATACTCTATCCTAATGTTAAAGTTTAGATTTTTCTAAATATACTAAATATATAGTAAAATCTAAATACATCCATAACTACTGGCTATCTAGCCCCGTCCCGTATTTTTGTTTGGGTGTGTGGTCACACTATGCACATCTCGTGTGACACGCACACACACCCTGTTATTAGGGTTCGTGTAACCCCGTTACAATACAATTAATTCAGCTCTTACGATCTGCGCGTACTGATCTATAAATGTATTTCATCGCGTGGAAGTCAACAAGACCAATGGGAACTAGCTTTCAAGAGAGCAAGTTTTACGAAAGGCGCAACTCAGAGCTCAGGATTGTTGGCTTACATCATCAAAGTTTCACGCTCTGAAAATTTGTGGAATCTCCTGATAGATTTAGAAAATTAGGACAACGCGCGACTGTCGAAAATTGAAGACATGTAAGTAAAGGCATTGTAAATACCAAATACGGATACGATGTTCACGCGTCTTGTTACGAAATTGTTAAAGATTCTTTTAAGTATTCCGAAATCGAAATTTTTTATGGTTGTCTCGTCTAGGATCTGGATTCATCGAATTGGCTTAGCTGACAAGTCGTGAGACACGGATTGGCGCACTTCCCCTCCCTCAGAGCTGTGATGAGTCGAAGGTGTGATTACTTTTGCGCTTTTTTACATTGAAAATTCAAATGAAATTTAAAATACATCTATTTATCATTCCTACCATTCGTTGATCGTGCCGTGAAAGACATCATCGTGATTTGATATCTATTCTGACTGATCGAGACTAATGTCAAGCTTCGTCGAAGCATGTGGGGTATACTCGTTGAGTGCAACACCATTTTATTCAGAACCAACAAACAGCAAGCTCCTTTCGTCGGTTTCACCACCATGATCTGCCGCACTCACCAGCTCACTAATAACTCATATTCTCCAATTTCTTCGTTGCTGCATAGACCAAGTTCCTCGCCAATTAAATGCGACGTCAGACTTCTAATGATGGCAAGTTCACTCACATGCAGGACCAAAAGGTTATAAACGCTACGTTGGGATGTGGGCATTGCAGTCGTAACATGAATAGTACGACGCCATGTTTGTCTCGAACATTGAATAGTACTCGAACAGTTCGAGTGGCAGAAGAAGCTGCTCGCCGTACTATTCAACAAATCAAATCGAAACCGCAAAATGGAGCTATCAAGTGGGGCAAGGTCGAGAGATTGGTGTGACAACTCTTGTATCAATCCCAAGCGTGAATTATCTCGGGAAATATGTTACTTGGCTTCCAGCTTTTACACCAGTACCATGCGCAGCATAATCGCAATGTGAAATGCTGATCGTACATAATACGGAGCTTCGTCACTTGTAAATGTTTTGTCGTCTTTAGAATTCATACCTTGTGGCCCGGATTTTGCTCTTAGTGTTCCATGGGTTATCGAAGAAAAAACTCTGGCCGTGTCTTTGAAGTCAATGGCTTCGCATAGTTTAAGTAAACGCAGTGCAATTGCCAAGTGTTCGGTGTGGGACGTCATATGCTGGATATTTTTTTTCTTTTTTTCAGATGAAATATTCGTTTACAGCATCAAATTTTAGTGTAGAAGACGATACAATTGGATAAATGACTAATTGATTATTCGAGATAAAATCAAAAGCTTTCATTAGTCCGATACAAAAAAATATCAAAATTTGGACTACAGCTCGGATTTTGTGAATTGCTGACTCTGACTCTGGCAATACGATACCAATATGTGAAAATTTGCGTCACCATACAATCTCTCACGTGGTCCACTTAATTTGAAGCCATTGATAGCATAACGTCATACATGCAGTTCTTGTAAGCTTGCGAGCCATTCCACAATTCAACATACTATCATGCACTTTCGCTATTTACGCGCCTCTCTACTGGTCGGTCTTCTCGTTACCGATGCTTCGGCGAGAGCAAATTTTACGTCAGCCTCGCCACAGTTGGAGCCAGCAAAAATTGGCTCTAATTCTCAGAATTTGGCGAATATCAGCGGCGAAAACAGGATGAGTTCGACAATCCTCGAGTTCATGGAAAAAGTTTTGGCAATCAGGAACGCCCAGGAAAAAATTATTTCGTGGGGTGAGACCATGGATCTAATAGACAAGGGGGTGAAGTCAGAAGCTTTGAGAGAAATCTTTCATGCGCAAGATAGTTCCGTAAACATTCTGGCCGACAAAAATTGGATTCAGTGGGCCTACCTTGTATGGCAATCTGATGATCAGTCAAAGAATGCATTTCAGTCGATTTATAAGGCTATGGCAGCTGAATTAACTGCGGAGCGCTTAAATACCATATTCAAAAATGGGATCGCGGATATCAGTACTCGAGAACTCGTCATCGAACTGCGCAATCGTTGGTGGAAAGATAATGGTATCACACCATCCGATGTGCTAAGCGAAATTGATACCCTCAACTTCTTTGGCGTGGCTTTCGACAATTGGCTCGCATATCTATCCTTTAGTAACCAAGCTGAGTATAATCGGAATCCTCGTGTATGTGAGCTGAAGTATCTCATTCTACACTACAGAATGCCACAATTACTGGAAATTTTGGTCTACCCCACAAATAGCGGAAACGTCAGGGCGTCGGAATATTTAACAATCGTTTCTCAAGTTATGCTGCCCCGAAAAATTCGCCCATGCGAGGTCGTGAAGGCGATTGCAAGTAATGATGGCGTCATTCCCACCTTTCTCAATGAAGTGGAGAACGAAACTCGTTTCCGATTTTGGTTCGATTATCACCTTTCATTTAATGAACGGTATCCTGAATATGCACTGTCGCTGGTTGATATGCTAACCGAGGCTGTCGGCCCCGCAAGAGTGGCAGCTATGTTGCTTGCTGCACAAAAGTCTACAAACAAAACCGTAAAAAATATCGGTGACACGTACCTAGCAGACCAATGTAAACAATGGTCTAGAAGCTCGAAGTCAGCGCATCTTGTTCATGACCTGATATCAAAAGACTTGGCAAAGAACCCGTGGAAGTTGGAAACGTATAGTCTATCGGAGTTGGCCGGAGAGACCAGCCGTAAATACTCAAACTATGTCTATAAGCGTCTATCAATACGGAAAATGAAGTAGTTGCAGTCGCATCAAATGACTAAATTTGCATTCCGTCGCAAGTATTTGATTGATACGTGAGTTTGATCAAAACTATCAGTCGAGCATGATCCGTTTTGCAATCCAACAACATTTATATGTTTTTTCAAATGCTATTGCAATTTTATTCTAAATATATGTTTTGATTGGATATTAAAAGCTCAATTTTTGGGTAAACACATGACTCATTCACTTTCTATTTCGCAGGAACGAGTTGATTTTCGCATTTTTTGGCAAGACACATTTGATTCGTCTTTGTTCTAAGCGTCGAGAGCTTCGTGGGGAAGTGCTGAAGGCAATTTTCTCACTTTACATGAGATATTGAATTGGCTGAGAATTTGATCATGCTCAGGACTGACAAGCATTGTGTCAAGCTGGCGTCCTTTGCAACAGAATTGCC